CCCCCCCAGGCCCTCAGCCACGGAGCCAAGCCATCCCAGACCAAATGCTCTGAACATATAAGCAAAAATACACTTTCCCTCCCCAAAATGGCTCCTCTCAGGTCTTCACCACACTGCTGGAGAACCCAACTGGGGCGGTCACAAAGCACAAACCAGAGCAAAGTTAATTATTACTTTTACTGGTTCAGTTCTGAAGGGGTTTTGGTTCTCTTCCCACAGCTGTCCCAATCCTCTTCAATCTCCCTATCCACTCTGTAGCAGCGTGAGAGTTTGTAACCTACCATGGGCTGGGGCGCTCGCCTAGCCTGTGAGGGGACCTCCCCGCTGGGTTCATCCCCAGCACCACAAAATAATAAATGAATATGTAAACAAATAAATATGCATTTGCATAAATACATAGAGTTGGAGGACTTACCCCACTCTGATTACTGTGCTCTAAGGAGATTCTAACTCATCTTGTTTAGAAGACAACTGATAAACTCACTTTTGCATGATGGAGCCCCTGGCTACTTTTCTGAACTTAACACTCACCTATCTCCCTACTATGTGTCATTCTCTAACCACACTGGCATTTCCTCCATCCCTGCTGCAGGCCAGCTCTACTCCTGCCTCCTGGTGTGGCCTTTACTGTGCTTTCTCTCTCTCTCTCTCTCTCTCTCTCTCTCTCTCCCTCTCTCTCTCTCTCTCTGGAAGATTCCTTTCCCCTGAGTTCAAATGGCTGCCTCCGTTTTGCTATTGAAGTCTCAGCGCCGATGTCTGCTCCGCAATGGCTCTCCAAGGTCCCTCTTCATTACAGACACTGTCTGTGCTCTACTCAATTTGTTCCCAGAGCTGGGCATCAGGGGGCTACCGGCTGTAATCCTAGCTGGGATCTGAGAACCATGGCTCAAAGCCAAGTGGGAAGAAAAGCCCATGAGATTTTTATCTTGAGTAACAAAGAGCCAGAAGCAGAGCTGTGGCTCAAGCCTTGAACAGAAAAAGGTAAGGGAAATTGCTCAGGTCCTGAGTTCAAGCCTAAGTACTGACACGCATAGCCAAAAAATAACCTTATTGGTATCTGAAATGATTACTACTCCATCAAATGGAGAAGTTCTCTGAGGACAGGAACTGTGCTTCTCATATGCATTGTTAGACTGCCAGCCTCAGCCCCAGAGCCCACCAACAATTAAGGGATTGGAAGGTGAA